TGCAGCGGCATTAGAAACCAATAGTAACAGTGAAAATACTGCAAAAATTTAAGTTATCCTACAATGTATACTCCAATAGAATAGTTTCACCGTGAGTCCTATAACATAGCTTTGTTGTTCTATCCCGAGTTCGATCAACTAGTGGTGATACTGTCATATTCACATACATAAAGTCAACGCTCATTATCATATCTCAAACGAAATATATCTCTTATCGTATATAGCGGGACTAGCTTACATGATCTGATCCATCGTTCAAAATATTGATATACCAACTTTCTGAGGAAGCGGTTGACATCTCAAGAGTATCTACATGTTCCCTTGGACCTCAAAGCCAATTGGCTTTCTTTGTTGGTTTTAATCGCATAGAATCTTTCACAACGGTTGTTTGTATATCCGAAGCTGGTATCAAGATTCAGGATGCCGGGGCGCGACGTGCCTTGATTGCATTCCTTTGAAATTGCCGAGTGGTGTGGATGTGAAAATCATTTGATACCTTAATGGTTTTCTATTTTTGTTGAATATGATGAATTTCAGGATCTCGTTGGGAATCTTAAATATACTTCTTCCATTATTCGATATATAAGGAGCTTGTGGATCTTCTAGCTAATAGTAAACATGTGAAGAATTCCAACAACTCTTACGATTAGGGATCAAGCAACCATTCGTCATGCAATGAATCTTCAAGAATTGCGATTTGTGCCCCGGTCCATGTTGGAGAGGATATCCGGACAATATTATTCGTCATAAGATTTGAAGATGGCTACTGATGATCCACTACAATGTCGTTGTATTATATTAACAGCAATTATGTATTTTGTAGAACTTACTGCTCTTGTCTTCTTGGCGCTGTTTCATGACAGCGCCAATATACTTTCACACAATGACAAAAATCCAGAAGAGTACATCTGATGAATTGATTCGGATCTACATAACAAGAGATGGAAAGTTATCGACGAGCCGCAAACGAATGTAAATCCACTTCATTCTCAATGATAGGTGAAAAATTGACCAACTACCTCGTGAAGTAGTGGCGGCCGTCCATCTTCCTTTGCTTGAGAAGTGATTGAATTCGTCAACTGCATGGGGCTTTTATAGTATATTTGTGAGATGCTGTGAAAGAATGGTTTGAGCGAGAGATGTGAGGACCACACTTATTGTGGCGAAGAATCCAATAATTAGACAAAATGGACTATGGACTACCGAATTATTGGTTCCTTGTGGAAGGGTCTCTCCCACTGTATAAAAAGTCAAACTCAAAGCGTCAAACTCAGAGCGCCAGTAAGCCTTGGTCCAACAACAAGGAGGCTTAGTATAATGGAGTCCAAGTCAATCTGGAATTGTCTACACAATTGTAGTTTGGTTTCCGATAATCAACACCGGTATGCAAAAAGAAAATAGTCTGGAGAATCGAATTTTGTGGTAGTGGTAATAGTGTTTAACAATGAGACATTTATCTGACGAAATTTACCGATTAAAAATGAACATATCATGCGCCGGTGTTACGAAGCAGCCAAGGGTAAGTTATGAGTAATAGGCAGCAATAGGATAAACCCTTGGACATTTTCCGGTTCTGTTCTAAAGTACCCTCTTCGGCACCAAGTTGAAGGCTTAGCCATTGGTTTATTTTGTTGCAGATAGTCTTGGAGATTCTCTGCGGAGTCTCAAGATGCAGTCAATAAATATGGAGCAAGAGTGAATACCTACGTGAAGGTTTGACCAATCAACGGAGAAGACAGTTTTCCATGAATAGACGAGGCTTCTAGATCAACTTCAAGTGTCACAAAGTTTTGGAGTTTTACTCTCCCGGTATTTATATCATCGCTGCTTCTCCATTTACAGGCCAGTGTTTACTATACCACAAGAGACACATCTCGGCATGCTCTGGTCTATCCTTCGAATTGACTCCGATAATCTTGGTCTGAACTTTTCATGCAGTCATCATGTGGCTATCACTAAAAGAGAAATAACGTTTGCCAACGACAATAACAGAAGCTATCCCTCAGGAAATTGACTGCCAAAATGGTGACCGATATTATTGATACTCTTGGAGGTTAGCTTTTATAATAATAAGGAATAGTATTATTATAATGATAGTGGAAGATCTAGTCAGTTTAAGCTTGAGGGATAAATCGAATATATAGAATAAGAGTTGAATTGAAGTCAATTTAGAAGAGCTAGGCTGAGTTGAGATGAATTGCTTGCTTTTTCCTAGATTTTCTTTAAAGAATATTCTAGGTTTATATAGTTTATAATGAAATTCTAGTATATTCTATGCTTATAAATAAGATCGATTTAAATCGTATCTTATAGAATCATTTTAGATAATAAAAAGAAAGTACAACCAATCAATTTAGCGATATTTCCTGTATACTTCCATCTAGTTCCATTTCATTCTATTCCATTATAAATCAATTTGATAAGAGATACTATTATACAACTATATGATAATATGATTTTATAATATAAGATCATATTATATGTGTATTAGTCATCAAGATATCTCTTATTTAGTAAGATATTAATAAGTGATTTAGTGGACTTATTATGAATCCTCACAGATACCCTGTTTGGAAGCCATTATCAGGGGGCAGAAAGTCCGCAACAAATTCGTATTTACAGGAAAATTTCCCAGAATTGAAAGATAGTGCAAACGGCAATAGACTTATCTAGTTCTCGGCTCCATTGATGATCAGTACTTAAGAGATTTTGTCCTTAAAGAAAAAACAACGGAGAGCCATTTATAGAAAGCTAGAGACCAAACCAAGATCATGAGATTGATAAAATCTACGGGCTGGAAGTGGATACTACACGCGCAGAATTCAAAACTAGAAAGAGGGGGCAATCGTTAGAGCTGATGGCTACAAGTTCTTCAATGAAGTGAATATCATCGAAAGTTTTCATCTTCTTTGACTTAAATATATGAGACTCGGTGAACTGGGGCACACAAGGCTTAGAAATCAACAGCCGCATCAGTATGATTTGCTTTGCTGGGAGGGAGGAACATGAACTTTATAGAATCATCAGTCTACAATTCGATAGTTCTCGTTCATTGGGTATTTTCAGCAATTTTGGAAGAGCAGAGTGAACTTCTATGTGATAAGTGAAAATCGGATGATATGAATTGGATTTTGGTGATGGCGACAGCGACAACTCAGTCAAACATCCGATGACAATAATGCCTATTGATAGTCTAATATGCTCGACACCTATTGCGATAACTTGCTTCCGAAATTTTCCTCCGATATCTCACGCTCGGTACACATTACTCTTCAAGAACATATAAAGTCTATTGCCGGTAGCTTCCTGGGCAGTTTTGTAATGGAAGCCCATTCAACTGATCAAGGCCGTGATAGATTCCTGCTAGTCGATATTTGAGGATATAAAAGGATTTATATAACTTGAGCTTTGAATCAAAGTAGTGAGTGAATCTGACAGTGTGAACAAGAGGCTAGACGTAAACAGGGAGTGGGTCAGAAGGACATGATGACGTGCTGGTGAAGAAGCTCGAGTTCAGGGGCTGAGAATAATCTATGTAGAGATTACTTAAAAATAGTAGAGCTCTATGGTTTTGAAAATTAAAGAAATTTTGACTGTATCTAAAGAATTCAAGATAATCCTGGAGAGGAGCTACTTACAATCTAGTTCTAGAATTGCATTGAGTATATGCCTTTGATTATTTGGGTATGCAATTCATGCGGTAATGTTTTCGATTTCTTCAACATCCGATATCACAGCCTGGAGTCACAAGAAGTAACGTAGCGACACCAAGGTTGACCTGAACGACAGTAGAAATATACGAACAAAAAGAACAGATTCTATTTCCCAAAGTACAACTACCCAACTCTGACTCCATACCAGGCAGACGATCTACAACTGAAAGATATTTTACTTCCGATTAGTCACCAAAGTTTCCATGCACAGTTTTTCTAAGCCTTGACCATCCATTCAGTTGACAAGACTAAAGTAAGCAGAGATACACTTTTTATAGCAAGGGAATGGAAGTATCTAAAGCTCTGACAGAAAGCTAAGAGGGCATTTATAGCGAGCATTTAATCCTCCCAGTGATTGCCCAAGAACAACTTCAACAATTTATTCATACCAAGCACGGGAACGGAAGCTAGGTGTGTCATTGAGAACATTTTATCCTGCTGGATCTATACTCTGAGTATTGCATCTCTATCTGCGTTATCGGTTATACTCTCCCGGCATGTTGAAAAGCAGTAGTAGCTATTGATAGTGGTAGATCTGACCGGCAGTGAGCACAATAAGATGCACCATCGACGACGGATAGAAATTTCAATAGTGTACCGATTTCTTTATATTCACTTGAATTCGAGCGATATATATCCCATATAACTGTGTGCAGAAGTCGCATTTAGCAATCCACATCCAAGATCACATCCAACGTTTTCCATGCGCAACGCGTAGATAGTCTGGGAGTGTGATGGTTGCATGAAGGGATCATTTTATACTACTTCGCGGTAAATGTGGCTTGTGACTCATGACAATTTTTATGGGCGGTGGAAAATTGTTTCTCATGATAGCGATACATCATGATACTGGCTCAGTACTATTTATGCAGTAATTGCGAAACATGGAGTAAAGTACTAGGGTAATTCCTATCGTAAAGAGGCGACCAAAACGGGAGTATAGGAAGCAGTGAAAAGTTTTCTATTATCGCATGGCAAAGCTATTCGAGCGAAAACCTAATAAACTCCACTTGGAAGTGTGAGATTCATCGAGTTTACTATGATGAGAAGAAATGGATAATCCGAGACTACAACTTTTTACTTAACAAATAGAATACATTTTGATTAAAAATTGCTTTTCATTCGGTCTATAGCTCAGAACTCTATATCATCTAAAGTATAACTTGTGGACATCAACCCAGTTGACTGGTATCAAACCGCCAGGTCCAATTTTTGATTTTTCAACCAAGCCCTCCCAAATCCATTTCAAACACCCCCCTAAAAAGAAAAAAGAAAAAGAAAGGCACGCTAGTTGGTCGCAGACGCAGCAGCACCGGAAGCTACACTAGCACCCGTAGGCTTAGCAGCCCCCTTAGCACCTTTACCCTTCTTGTCTCCAGTACCGGTCGAAGCAGCTTTGGTACCACCAGTAGTACCAGTGGCATCAGCGGGATCGGCATCACCTTTGCCTGCCTTGGCCGTTGAGGTAGCTGCCGCTGCTTCTGCACCATTTGGCTTTGCTGCGCCGGTTGCCTTTGCTGCGCCGGTTGCCTTTGCTGCACCATTTGCCTTTGTACCAGTTGCTTTCGCTGCACCACTTGCTTGTGCTACGCCACCAGTTTCCTTTGCACTTCCCTGTGATGAGTTAGTATCATGAGACAGAGGGATAAGTATATGGTAGGACAAACCTTGTTTCCCTTGCCTTTGTTTCCAGTTCCAGTTGAACCTGCGGCGTTCACATTGGTTGTTGCATTAGCTAGAAGTGGTAGTCAGTATGAATGAAAGATATAAGATGAAACCAAAGGACTAACCAGCACTGTCGTTATCGTCGGTATCGTTGTCTCCATTGTCATCTCCGTCGTCGTCGCCGTCATTTTGCTTGTTTTTTGGTGATCGAGAATAGAACTCAAATACTGATCTTGTTAGCTATGTTTGTTTCCCGTGAGGTGCTATTGGCTAACCATTTGGAACTGGTGCTCTAGCAATAAGATCAGAATCGCTCTCTGGCAAAGCTCGAGAAGAAACGAGTGTGGCAGAAATAGCAATGAATGCTAAGATGGATCCGAAATTCTTCATGATGAAAGAGGTATGGTGATAAGCGTCAAGCTGTTAGGTCTATAGGAAAAAGTAATGAAGTAAGAAAGCACAGCTATGAATTGTTATTATTGTCCAATAGTCTATCAAAATAGGAAGATTTACCTCTTGAAAGAATGTAAATGTAAAGGGAATTGAAATAGACACACAAAGAGATGAAGAGATGAAGTGTTGATGTAGAATGAAGATATAAATCTTGAGGCTTTGGAGGCTTTTATCTTCAAGTTCGACAACAATGGCTGATCTGGACCCCATGGAATCTCGAGCTTCTTGAAACCATGAGACGCCAAACAAAGGGAAGATAATCAGCTCATGCTTAGCCCGTCTGATCTTCAATCTATTTGAAAGTTTATTTCGTTGACCGTGTGCTGTCAAACACCCCATCACACTCCATATAGTATCGATTTTCACGCAAGAATCATGAAAGGCACCATATTTAGAATACGAAAATTAGTAGATGTTGTGTGAAATAAAGTTTATTCTACGAAACCCGGATTCTCTGGTACCCACGCCCACACCCGTGGAGAGTGAACTACAATAGCATTCAGGTTAGCGTCGTCGGGAATATAGTTCCAGACAAAAAATAAGCTTTTTAAGCATCAATCGTCTCAAGTGGGGTGTATCTTCGCAACTAAATCTAAAGATCTTTCGTAAGAATGAAATAAAAATCGGGGTGGACAGTTGTACCGAATCGAGATAGTTCTGAATTCGGTAGTGTAGAAACCGGGGTTTCAAACTGTCGATTAAACCAATTCGGCTACAGCGTCAAACGAAAAGGAGGTGTCAAGTACTTCCGAGACGGGTGGGCCCCAGCAAAGATCATCGGATCTGTGAAATACCGCGCCCAAAAAGGAAGTGTAACGGTAGCACAGTATCAAGTGTCCTATTTTAAGAGACGTAAACTGTAGTTTGTATCATCTTCAAATGCTTGGTACATCTGAATAATGGAAAAACTCTCATCCCAAGTCTTGTACATGAGAAACATACCTTGGCTCGTATATTTCGCCAAGTTCTTAGGTTAATGGAAGTCTTGATGGAAGACATAATATGTTCAACTCGAAAAAGAACATAGAAGTGCACTGGAGTCGTTGAACGTATGGTGAATTGAGCAAATTTACTTGATGGGTCCTTGACACCGATCTCTCTGCGGCTTTTGTGCCAGTGGACCAGTTGACCACGCATGGCAAGTTCTTCCAGAACATTGATATTGTGGTTGAGTACCTAGGTAAGTAAATGAAAAATACCCAATTGACTTGAAGATTCAGTCTTAGGAAATAACATCTTTGCTCGGACTCTGTTTATCACGATCTTCTCCACGACACCTGCATGTATCAGTACCGCGGGGCAAACAAGATAACGTTCATAACTCACACCCGCATTTCTAATCTCTTGGCATGAGTCCGATGTATAATGGATGAAGCGGTACTCTTTGGAGAGATTCAAGCAGCCGTAAACAATGCTGACATTGGAGATGATACTATTCGTGAAGAACTAACACATATCTGTGAGGGGGTTTCGTTCCGATCCGATTGCGACCCCGCTGAACCGTTTCCGAGGGAGTACTACACGAGCTATAGTACAATACCGAGAATGCCTAGGTATCTTCGTTCGTTACCAAAAATAACACTCCCATCTTTCCGCATCCACCAGATTATCAAGTACCCAATCTCCGAATAGTAATGATAGACATTTCCCTGACTCTTGCAACGATAACAATGTTGTCGCTTTCGTGATGATTTTGATGTTGTTCAGTCAATTAACTGCTTTCAATTGGCTGCTTACGGCTGAAATGGCTTTCAATCGGGTGACACATGATTGGTCCGAGGTTCTAGCTTTACAGTATTGCCGAGACGAGAAGCTTTGAAGAATTTCGCCCGAACCCGAACTCGAACTCTGAGCGCATTCGTGAGTCAAGAGGCAAATGAATTGTACTTTAAATTAAGAAAGAACAATTGATATGAGGTGACAATAATCATGTCTTCTTCAAGGGCTGTCACAGCATGTCTGCAGCGTAACGTCGCGCGACAAAATGCTTCCAGGATTGCGACTCAATGTCCGCGAATTCTTCAACAATCATTCATACATCCCACATCGCGACCCCGCATTGCCTCATCATTAATTGCTGGCCAACGACGCGCTCTCTCTCTTACAGTCCCTCGACGATTGGCAGATGTTGCAGAGGATTTTGACCCAAAATCGGTGGAGAGAGAGTCGGATGAGGTTGATGTATGTATAGTTGGAGGAGGTAAGAATATTATCACATGCCAAGGGATTTTATTAACATTCACAGGTCCATCTGGTTTAAGTGCTGCGATTCGATTAAAGCAACTCGCAAACGAAGCAGGGAATGAAGATTTTAGGGTCATACTCTTAGAAAAAGCGGGTGAAATTGGGGCACATATTCTTTCTGGCGCGGTCATTGAACCTACGGCTATCAACGAATTATTCCCAGATTGGCTCGCGGAGGACAATGAGAATAGATTCGAAAATGTTACTCCCGTTTCGGGTGACAAGATGCGTTTCCTTACCAAAGGTAGCGCAATTCCTATACCTGCTCCGCCGCAGATGAACAATCATGGCAATTACATCGTCAGTCTTAATCAATTCACAAAATGGCTTGGAGATCGAGCAGAAGAGGTTGGAGTTGAAGTTTATCCTGGTTTTGCAGGAGCAGAAGTTTTATACAAGCCGGATGGATCTGTCAAGGGTGTCGCTACCAATGATCTAGGTATTTCGAGGAGTGGCAAACCCAAGGATAGTTTCGAGAGAGGAATGGAATTTCACGCAAGAATAACCCTGTTCGCAGAAGGTTGCCATGGAAGTCTCACAAAGCAAGTCATCAAGAAATTCGATCTCCGTAGAGATAGCCAACCACAAACTTATGGCCTCGGTATAAAGGAGGTTTGGGAAATCCAACCTGAAAAGTTCAAGAAGGGCCAAGTTGTTCACTCCCTGGGCTATCCTCTCCCAGCAGACACATATGGCGGTGGCTGGATGTATCATTTTGGTGACAATATGGTGAGTATAGGACTTGTGGTAGGACTCGATTATCCAAATCCTTGGATGTCACCATATCAAGAGTTTCAAAAGATGAAGCATCATCCACTTTATAGAGATGTTTTAGAAGGCGGGAAATGCATATCATATGGAGCCCGTGCTCTCAATGAAGGGGGTTTCCAATCGATACCGAAATGCGCCTTTCCTGGTGGCGCCTTAATTGGTGACACTGCAGGCTTCCTCAACGTTCCAAAAATCAAGGGTACCCACACCGCTATGAAATCTGGAATGCTTGCTGCAGAGGCAACATGGACTGCATTGGAGAAAAACGACGACGCGTCCGTTTTCTTGTATGATTATGAAGATTCATTGCGCAAATCCTACATCTGGAAAGAATTGAAGGAGGTACGAAATATGCGGCCTTCATTCCATTCACCACTAAAGCTATATGGTGGTATTATGTACTCCGGACTCGAAGCATATGTTCTCAAGGGTAAAGTCCCCTGGACATTGAAGCATAAATCCACTGATGCTGCAGCTACCAAGCTTGCCGACCAATGTACAAAGATTGAATATGAGAAACCCGATGGCAAAATCTCATTTGACATCTTGACAAGTGTTAGTCGTACCGGTACAAATCACGAGGAAGATCAACCAGTTCATTTGCAGGTCAAGGATTGGGATAAGCATGCGGAGATGGAATACCCAAAGTACAAGGGTATTGAAAACAGATTCTGTCCGGCCGGTGTGTACGAGTATGTTGAGGATTCAACAAAGGATATCGGAGTGAGGTTTCAAATCAATGCGCAAAAGTAAGTTTCTCATCTCAACATTTTGCCTTGATACTAATCCCTCTCAGTTGTATTCATTGTAAAAACATGTGATATTAAGGTACCGGATCAGGATATCAATTGGAGTGTTCCGGAAGGTTCAGGGGGACCAAAATATTATATGACTTAGATATCCAAGCGCATAAAACAATATGTACACCTATTTACACTATATTCAGATGGCTTTTATGTGATGCTGACTTAGGCTGGGTGATATACCGCTTATTTACGAACGGTGAATATTGAGCTCTCGTTATATAAGTACGCCACACATTCTTTTCAAAATCCCTAAGAGCTACTAACTTCAATTTCACTAAATAACAAGGGATGGGTCTACTGGTCTAGAGATTGTCTCATCTACTCTTGCATTTAATGTTTCTCACGTAGAATATCCAAGGAGAGTCCATCAGAGCTCTACAGTAATTTTGCTCGCTTAACTTCTCTTCTCGCTGTCGCTGTGCTCTCTTTTCGTCATGTCCTGATCCGGTGAGTGTCTTCTCATCATCACTTCAGCTTATTTCTCACTGCCATATTGAATAGTTGTATTCGTCTAATATGACTAGATTTGACAACGTCTCGACTCTCGAGAAAGAGATTAGACTATGTGTCCGGGAGGGAATGGCTAGTTTGAGTAAGGTTATTTGATGCATTATGAACCTGCACAACATATGGTCTTTAAAACCATTTGACTTTGTTTGTAGGGCGGGTACTTAGTCTGCGTGGGATGTTTAAATAGTGGGTGGGTGAGATTCGTAGGGTAGTTAAATGTGGGATCCGGTTTGAGGTTGTTGGTTCTTGCGACATTGGGCTATTTACTGGTGGAGTGGAAATATTCAATGCTTTTGTATAAATATCTCCCTTTGTTGCACTCAAAATACAGGTAGAAGAAAGCGCAATCGAAGATGGCGAAGCACATGAGGATTGTGAAAATATTCGCTCCGTTCTACCGCCTTGTGTGGTAAATTCCAGCCTCGGAGGTTCATTTTCTACTAGAAATTTGAGTATTCATTGTCGAATCACCTTTCCTCACTGTCACTTCCTTAGTGAAGCCGTCATTTCTCGGATACTTTTGTTGTCGCTATTCCATGTGTTTACTGTAATATACATAATACATCAGTGTAGACCTTTCCGGGTTCTTGACAGCGATTTAGAGATGCAGGTGTTTGTTTAAAGAAAATCGAAGACTCGGTTTGTCTTCCCTTGACTCACTTTTAATAGGTGCCTCTTCGTCTTTGCTCTGGGATTTATCGAGATAATTGATGTGTGAGATGATACCTTATTATTGAAAAATCGGAATTCTATGGGAAGCGAAGTATGGTAATTTGCTAAAGAAGGGTGTTGGGAATCTCCCTGGCCAGCCTCGTGAAGTTTAGAGAGGTAAAATAAAAAGAAATACGCGAATCACAAGTTGTGGAAATGAACACAACATAGAAGGGAGGCACTTCATATTAAAGGTCTTCAACTCAGAGTAGGATTTTAATGATTGATATTTGAATCATATTTTGGTTATTGATGTTTGACTATCTAATAATAGTTGGCATAGTCTCTACTTAAGAATTCACTCGAGCTTCATCGGGATATCTACCTAATGCACTCAAGATTCGGCGTCAACATAAAGTGATTGATGTTCGAAACCTAGAAAGAACTGTCCATTTCTCCACATGTCAACTAACTAAACTATCTGGGACTGGTCTTCCAGCACGACTCTAGAATCATGGAATTAGCACTATTGGGATAGATACGAGATGGTGGTATCGCCACTTGCCAAGTTGTCTTCGGCATCTGAGATGACTGTGCGAGGAGCTGATACGGTGGTTTGGCGACTTGGGAATTGGTCGTCGATGTCTGGAATAACTACACCTGGATACGAGATAGTATCATCCCGACTTATAAAGTTGTTGCCAGCTTGTGAAATGCCTACACGTGGGGCTGATATAGAGGTTTGGCGACTTGTGAAATTGTCGTCTGCGTCAGGAGTAATTGTGCGTGGAGCTGATATGGTGGCTTCGCGGCTTGCTACGTTTCCATAGGCATCTGGAATGGGTGCATATGGAGACTGGTAGACGAGTTTAGGATGACTGTATAGCGATTTGTATGGAATGGGAGGACCATTCATAAAATCTAAGTCACCGGCCAGCTCATCCCCTTCAGAAGAACCTTCTCTTGACCCCGGAGAGTTATAATCCGCAAGCTTGCTCAGTTCCCGAGTTGCAATTCCTGCTACAGGGGTCCCCTCATTAATATCAAGAACAGCACTCACGGGGGCTGCACCACCGATTCTTCTCGAGCTTCTTCTAACAAAGTCCTCGCTGGCACTCAATTTCGACTTCAAACGTGAACTTCTCTTCTTCTCAGCAAGAGTTTTCTTCCCAGCCGGGCCGCTTTTCTTGGTCGAAACCTTTTCCCCACCGACAGCGTTGTTTTCCTCTAGAGTCAATTCCTCTGCTTCTTTTTCTTCTTCGACAATGGCAACTTCGGGCTCTCTAATAAAGCCAAATGTGGATCCTCTAGGATCTCTTGTTGGTTTGATAATCGTGTCAACCTGCTTCGGAACTTTGCCAACGCGAGCGTCAGGGCGACGCTTTGGAAGGTAGCAAGGGCTCATGACGGTAATATATCCGTGTTTTGTGTCTATGAGTGAGTTATTAGGAGACTAGGCAAGACGTGCGAGATTCATCTAGGCTAGAGGCAGGACTTTCGATAGTTTAAATTGCAGTCCTGTAAGGAAAATATCCACAATCTAATATTATGGGTTGAAGTCTGGAATATTGGATTCATTTTGAATGATGTGGTCTTTTTTAAACGCCGAGAAGTTGTATTCAGTCTGCCGATCCAAACTATTGGATATCCTGACTGATTGAAACAACAGGTCAAGGGAGAATGCTAGACTGTAGGCGGAGTATTGAAATAAAAGAAAGGAGATACGTACGTCTATCATAGAGTACAAACTTATTGACTTGTCTCTTATCGTATGTGATAGAATCCGCAAATTCAGGAAGAGGTGTCGGATCCTTATCTTTCACTAAAATTTGACACAAAAGTTAGTTCTGGCTGGTAATTTTATTTCTGTCCGCAAAAAAACAGAGGTTGCAACAGATGTGCGACAAAAGGATTGGTAGGGCAACATACAAATAGCATCGTAGACTCTAATAGTTTCCATGATGATCTCCGCATTTCTAGTTGTAATAGATGGATGGTTGTTTCTGGCTTCTAATTTCACGTTAGCTGAATTACTTCACTGGTCTTGTGGAATTGAGGTGGAGGATTAATGATTGAAGTAGTTTAAACGTACTGGATTTCAATGCGCGCCATTGAGCGTCAGTGTAATAAACCGGCAAGTCAAGCATTCGCGGCATGATTAAGATTTTTTGTAGATAATCGACCTTGTTTTTTGGAAGTTGGTTGTTGTAGAAAAGAAGTTTGAGGTTCTTGTGGTGGAAAGGTTTATTTGGTTGAAGTTGTGGTTCAAATCGGACGTCGAGATTTGAGTTTGTCTTGATCTTGACTTTGAGGTAACTTTGTAGGAGAATTTATTGTGAATGGAAGAAGGAAAATGGAAGTTGGGAATGTTGCAAAGCTGATAGCTTAAGTACCTAGGTAGATACTGAGTGGTGCGGTTCTCTGTATCGCTTAAGATGGGATGATTGATTTGTGATTGAGTACGGGTCCAATACGGCTGAACAGTACCTCGCTGCTGGATTTTGGTGATTGAGTGACAGTATCGAAACATTAATTGTTTGAGGATCAGTAAAGTACGAAATGTATTCATGTTCAAATCGTGCTTTTTATATTGGTCGTTCACTTGCATATATTAGGAAAGGTCTATCCAGGTGGAACCGAATAACGTGACTTGCAATCCGAGTCCATGGGATAGATGTTTAGGAGACCCTAGAGTAAATCGGCACAATGATTCTCATCAAGCGTCAAGTGATTCACTACTCTCTAAGAAGTAACGATCGCTTATTGTGATTCCTCGTACGATTATAGATCTTCCACGTATAGTAAGTGGGCTTAGGTCCCCAATGTTCGTTTGCACTTCCCCCAAATTGTTTATTCCTATTATTGTAAAATAAAAAGTTATCTACTAGGCCCTTAAGGCCTAGTCGTCCTATATAGTCTTAGACTGAAGGTGGACGTAAATTCAATCAATCAATCAATCAATAGATCTTCCACGTTATACTGACGTCCGTAACTTGATTTTTACATCCACGGCCACCAATATCTGGAATCTTTTCTCGTCTAATTCAAAGTTTACGGCTTTGATTTTGAGCATTTCGAGCGCTCCTGTGGGCATTGAGCTTCAGCAGGCCACGCGATATTTATTACTAATCTTAAATGACCCCATAGTCCTATTACATGCCAGGCCGCTTGTACGGGTGTAGCTCTTTTTCTTTCCATCTGGCTACGGTCGATGACAATTTAATAATCTCTCTGCTAGCGAATTCGGAGAATATGGTTTAGGAACGATCTATTGCATTCCTCACTTTCTTTATTTTTTACATTGCATCATTCAAATTACCACTTAACTGTTACCACACTTGTTGATGTGGTTTTGAAACACCTGTAGGACTCGTTCAAACCCTCTTGATAAGTCTAAGACTCTTAGTCTTTGAATTCCTTTGATTCTACATCAGAATGAAGGACTTGAACACGCTAAGACGTATTATGAAGATACGTTAAGTTAAAGGGCAGAGTTTCCAAAGTGTGCATGATTGAGCCTAAAGATATGGATGGAAAAGGTAATTCAAAGTATTCTCGTGCTTTGGGACAATAGTGACAGGTGAAGTTCCAGGTTATTCTAGGGTAATACTACTAGATATACATTAAAACTTACAACCACTGCGACCTGACAAAGTTACATCAGTTATTACTTGCCTGTTTGATGCACAATTAATGATAACTTGTGGAACTCTTGTTTCTTTCTATGTTCAATAAACCGTTCTTGATGCATTGAATAAGATAATACTGAGTCTCTCAATTATAATAAGCTTCCAAACCCGAAATTTGATTCCAACATAACGTCGAAAAAATATCCAGTATGCAACTCACTTTAGCAATTTGACCTTACTGAATTTTAATGTCACAAAAGCTTGGTTAGCCAAATTTAATAGATTATTTTATGATACATATCTTCCGGTCTGCTCCGATCATTTTCCTCTGATCCAGTTACCCAAAACTTGCCTTCTTGTCCTAACAAGTGTGACATGATCATGTCATTTGAACAAATGCAATCTTAACAATATTCCAGCATATCTGACACTTCCTGGTGAATGTCCTCCCAAACTGTAATGGTCTTGGTATATGATACTTAAAGTGCTCTCGTGGCGGCTGTTGGAATGAATTCTCGCTTAATTCAACCTTAGCGTTCGAGGGTCTCTTGTAGATATTTATTAACTAGATTTCCTTAATCGCACTATCTCGAACATCGTCTTTGAAATTAAGATTCTTAGAAGTATGATCGAAGAATATGCCATTGTAGAAGCCGATCTGACGATGAGGGTGCTCTGATGGATGACATCGAGGTTTAGGTACCATCATAAGCTCAGGGTTTTGTTGTCGGTGTGACATTTGTGTTTCTTAAGATGTAAAGAGCGGCTGTAGGGTATCCATTCCAGTAGAGTTATTGGCAGCGAAAATATCTTCGGAATGTAAATTCCTTGGTCTGGAGCTAGAAGTTGATTTTTTAACATCTTCTCCAATCTGGGGACCAATTGGATCTCGCATTCTCGAACTCGAGCTTGGATAAGCCTCTTTAGCTTTAACTCTGTCTAGAGGGGAACCAAATATTTCTAAGTCTTCTGCTAAGGTATTGCTGTCGCTATCTAAGCGAATATGATCATGACTCCGCTGAGAGTCGTTCACGAATTGATCGCTAACAGTAGTTTCCTGTTGAATGCGGTGACTCCATGATTGCGGACGAGGAGACAAAGCGGTTGAACAACCAGGAGATGTACTATTTGAAACAGAACGGGCTATAGAGTTCTCTGATGATAAGTCGGTAAAACAGCTCTCTTCGCTATTGCCATCATTGTCAACATCATCGTTGACATCATCTAATGTTTCATATGGATAAGGGCCAAGATATTCGGATGTGCGTGCCTCGAATGGCCTGGCGTTTTCGGAAGAATCGGGAGTTCTTTCTTGAACTCCCTCTGTGGAAGGCGCTCCGTCTCCAAAAATGTTGCTTTCATTGAGGCCTTGACGCCTACGCTTGACCCGAGCTTTGAAACTACGTTGAATACTATCTGATAAATGCATATTGATAGGTACACTTTGGTGGTTTCTAGAAAGATTTGATGGAGATGTTATCGACAAAGCCTTTGCTCTTATTTTGTGCAAACTTCCTTATCTTTCAGAAGAAATTCAACTCCAGAGATGATCTTTTAATAATGATAGATGATACAATGAGGTATAATACGGTCTTTTCTATGACTCCGGCTCTAGTTTTCAAGCAGAGGATATTTATTATCAGCATGGTACAACGCATACGGCCAGCACTAATTTGTAAACAGCAAGCATCTTCTATACGGCACCGTGTGTATAGTAACACACAAACCGTAACATTATGTATTCTTGAATATGAACCTGAAGCAGCTTATGCAAAGAGACTATTGTGTTGTGTAGGCGATCAACGTAAGTCAGAGGTTCATGCTTGAGAAGTCTAAGCTGGGGGTCTAGGCTGGGAGTGGCATACTGGTCTTTATATTGATAGTAAAAATGCATATGATTGATCCAATTTAAGCTTCGCAACTGAATTTCATGTTGAGTCTTGGTTAAACTATAGTTTAATTTTAGATGCTCGAGTATATGTCCAGACGTTTGCTATAACCCGGGGGGGCAGCTATTCTGACGTCTAAGTTATGGTCACATATTAATTCTTTATTCTCATATAGCGATTTCAGAAGGTTCAATAGGTCATTCTCACGTTTTAATCAGGATAAGGTCACCAAGATATGTCAGAATTATATTGCAGAGTTCTTTGTGTATAACTAGGTACTAGATTTAGCGCTAAAGTGGCGTTCTCGTACCACAATTGAGATCGCCTTCTCGAACAGTTGCAACGAGTGGGTATACTCCGTGCTTTATACTGGTTCCCAAAACCAACCTGTAAAAAGGACTACAAATGTCTGCAGTTGTTCCTCCCTGATAGTTCAAATTACCATGTGCCTCCGTTACCCCGAAGCCCCTTGGTCTTTGCACCTAGATGCATAAGTGCTCAAACGCCGCTCTATCTTCCTCGATGCATGAGTACTCAAACGCCGCTCTATCTTCCTCGATATATGGCTGTCAGAAACATCAAGCATTGATTCAAGCTTGTTCTCGATTCCGATTCATCTTTACACGTAGTCTATACGCAACCGGAAGGATCAATTCATCCCGACACAAGGGGCATGTATCATGCTTCTTCAACCATTCAACGATACAATCCCTACCAAATACATGTCCACATTTTGGCATCTTTGAAGGCTCGTGATTGGGTTCAAGGGGAATGGTAGCCTCAGCGTATGCCTCAATACAGATACCGCATTGTTCAAAGTCTAATGTCGCAGCATCGACTGGTGGCAGCATATCCTTGATAGCTCTGGCTCGATCGTGGTAGCTCTTCCTAATCTCAACCACAATGAACTTCACTGTGCCATCCGAATTTCCTAGAAGAGCAAACCGCTTTTGTCCATCCAAATTGGGATTTCTACGAAGTTCCTCAGTTGAAAGTAATGGGACTGTCTCCGGTTCAAAATCTACAATATCCTCAAGACTATCGAAATCTTGCCCCGTGAATGCTAAATTCCCGGTAGACACAATATCGAGTGTCATACCAGACTCTTCGTATTGAGCAGAAAGATTGAGCCAATCCATGTGTCTTCGTGGTCTTGTGAGGTTAAGACGATTGAATATCTCCTGTGAGAAGGTATTTTTGGTCGACGACGAAGAGCGGACGTTGCGGAATCGTGAAAGCATAGTTTCCATTAAAGACATAGTAGATTGACTTTGCTAGAAACTCGGGTTGATTTGAGATTTTGATGAGGTTGGGTGGTTACTGTTCTGAAATTTGTTATCCTTCGACTCCTTGAACTTATTGGATGATGAAAGTATTTGTGATGGATCTATAGAAAGATAGAAACTCTTATTGACAGGCATAGATGCTCCTTATAAGCTAGATAAATCATTCTTACGGCATCATTCAGACACTCTTTGACAAAGTTTTATTACTGTCGTTAGAACATGATATTTGGAAATGTTACGGCTGCTACGGTGCAAGATACGTTTTCATTACGGGCTTCCATGTTGTCGTTTGACTTCACTATTATCATTCTCGTTAATTTTATCTATTCACTCGCGTGAGAAGCGACTACAAAATCGCCGTAAGAGTGAGTCAGAAATTGAATTCCATTTGTATTTTATATACAAACGAGACTTCGTAAAGAGTACATGTAGAGCAGATTATTTTCCTACAGAGCAAACAATTGAAAAATTCGAACAGATTATATACAAATCATTTCAGAATCTATTATTGATACAAGCTGAATTTTATACTGAATTGAAATAAACATAATATTGTAAAATGGATAATGGAGTTCATAGACAATCTATAGAGTTGGTAGAGCCTTCAATAGATCATTTGTAAAGCAAATTGTTCGTAGATCATCTGTACATGTATATTATTTTTGCGCAGTCTCAGTGTATTCAATAGTCTAGACTACAGTCAAACAATATAAGGGTCTGAATATCTAGAAGCATTTAAAAATCTTAAAATCTTAAAAATTTCAATATTCCAATGAAATTCGACATCATGAATGATTTGAATGTTCTAATTGGTTTGGGGATTTGATAATCTTTATTATTAGATTGTAGTCCGGAATATTGAGTACCCTACGCAGTCTGATACAGACTTCGGGTCAGTATTGGGATTGATTTAGTAGAGCAAACCGAATTCTATTGATAGAAGATCACCTGAATGGAATTTGAAGCTTTATACTTTATTTTCATGAAATTCGAACATTAATGGTGACATCAATTAAAGATCTACATTCACAAGTTTTTATATTACTCTTATAAACATTCAACTGCACGACTATTCGCAAATTCATTTGCTCGTCTATATTTATAGATCATTTGTCTAAGCTGTCTTTTTCACTCATGTATCTGAGAGAGTATTTCACTGTTCGATGTTCTCAAAAGTTTCTTTAAGTTTATTGATATATTGGAAACTATCTATCATCTACATTGCAGTTCCATCTAAACTGACTGAGCTCTGTTATTTATAGTAGCTTCATAGGTAGAGGTTCAAAATGGGCTGAAAGTATTCCCAACTGATCATCCTGATGTTGAGGCCCTCCAATCTCTGTTGGTGGACTATATGACGAATCAATATCCATCCTTATCAGTCCCTGGCCTGATATTCCTCGTGTTCGCCATTCCAAACCCTATTCTACCCACATCTGTAGATGAAATGGCACAGGTAGTGACGCTTTCCGACGACACATTGGGCATGTATTATTATCCTTCAACCATTGTGTAATACACCGCCTACCAAAAATATGCCCACATTTCTTTATTTTCACTGCAGTGTGATGTGATTCATTTGAAATATCGATCGAATCTTCGAAACCGTTCGTAATTTCAGAAGTAGCTTCCAAATTGGTTACCACTGTTTCGGGCTCGCTTAGAGTGGCAGCCGTGGTATATGACTCAATGCAAATGCTACAATGCTCCGAATCAAGAGTTTCAACATCCACAGACTCGAGTATCTCATTGATAGCCTCAATTCGGTTCGTGTAATCGAATAAGATTTTCACAATCATGTTTCTCATTCTCCCATCATCATAGTATAGAGCTGCAAGAAATCGATTTTCTTCTTCCAAATCTTCTTCAATGTCAATTTCACCAGAAGATATCCTCGGACCATCGCTATCGCTATATGCGATGTCAATCGCGGCTCTTGCAATGTTTTCGAACTCTGGATTGGTACGGCTCATGTCGCCATTAGGGGAAATAACTTCGATTGTGACTCCATGTGTCGCAACCATAGTTGATATCATTGCGGGAATCGGATTCAATGGTGTCATTGGCGTGGGGGGTCTTGTCGTGTTCTCAGGAATTCGGAAACCACGTGGTGGGATGCGGTGTGAGCGCGAATTAAGTCTATGAGGAGGCATGGTGCTTCCGGTTTGTTGGAGGATGGAAATTATATTCGTTATATCTTTCTTGTAGGTTGGTATTAGGTGAGTGTTTATGTTTCCGAAAGAGATGTGCTATATGGTATTCCAAGATCCAATGTCGAGAAAGTGTTGTGAGTTGGTTGGAAAACGTTACTTGTTGTTGATGATCGAAAATGAAGAGAGAAACGAGGAAGTCCCAGTTACTAGACTTGTTTATAAGTTGGCTACTGTGTTCATACTGTTCCAATATCATCAACGATACGGTCTGTCTGATACAGGAAACAGTGAGCGCAAATACAGTCCATCATGCTATGCGTGCACCTCAGGGGACAAAATATGACTTCTACTGCTTAATTTGGTACAAAGAAAGGTCAACTGATCTCCCGCTTCAAATCAGTGGAATTGAAAAGTGGTGTGATCTTATCAAGGTAAATCTATTACTTTCGTGTATCTGTTTCTTGTGTTACACACGCCGAGACCGAGTCAGATCATGGGGGATGATGTATATATAAAGGCATCGTCATGTGGGCCCTGGATCTAATGGAATTAAAGTATTTGTCAGGTATACTCCAATGTATATGGTTCATGTGAAGGACAAAGATTAATAAAATACTGGATCATATAGTAAAGGAATGTGTTTTATTTTAAGGAGTAGGGGGGTAGATTCTATAAGGATAGGTTCTATATTAGAAGAATAAATTTCACGGTGGAACCCACGATCATGTGCCTTTCTTTCTTTCTCTTTCTTGAAACTCAGATTCTAGTCTATGATTATTGGAACTCAAATTTTGATACAGTTTAGGATAAACTCTATTTAGATTATATGATAGAATCTACGAACCCCAGGGGCGTGCCAGTGACTTGTCATAATTTTCAATGTCTCTGTATGTGATTTTTCTTTTGATTTTTTAAATAATCCAATTCTCTACGCATTTTAATTATCCCTGGATAATACCCCACTTGATCGCTAAGAAAACCATTGCTAAATGCACCAACCAAACGCTGATTCAATATTCTGTTGCGCCTACGCACGAAACTGAACAATTGGAAATGTTCGTAACCCTCACTGGGCCTTTTCGATCAAAGGTAAACCCCCGCTGTAATTCATATTCCAAAACGTTTGAAGACCTCCACGGATGAAATTTCTCTATTCGAGATCTACCCTATTCCGACACAGAGGGCAGGTAGAGTGGTGTTTCAACCACTGAATAATACAGTGTTTGCCAAATATGTGCGAGCATACTGGCACTGCACAAGCTATGTGAGAGTTGCTGGTGTCTGGCCGCATAGTATGGAGTCTCTGGCAATCATTGCAATAGCGTATGTCCTTGACCACAGTAGGAGCATGTAAGGTTTCATTGTATTTTTCCAGGCAAATAGGACAGCGGTCTGATTCGCCGGCAGATACGGGAGAAAGATAACTTTCAATCTCTTCAAGTCGAAAATTCTCATAACAACTGCGTTTGATCATCGTGTCATCTTCAAAGATCAAAGGCGGAGGATTAGGTAGGCCCCCAAACTCCAGGGGTCGAGCTTCTGCGTCCTCGGCTTGAGAATTCGCTATTGCTTCCGTGTGATTTTCAGATGCCTGTCGTGCTTCTTCACCCTCGGATTGAGAACCCACCAATTCCTCGTCGTTCTCAGATGACACTAGTGCTTCTATTCGTGCTCTAATCCGCGTAGCCCATGCCCCTGCCCCTGGTCTTCCATATATGCCATTAACACCATTTAAATGCTGTATAATTTCAGCCATTTGTTGAGATTGTCTGAGGCTATCAGCCCGAGTAGACTGGTCAGAAGATACATCTTGCTGGGCGTCCGACGATGACTCAGTTTCCGGGGAGGGAGAATTTTCCATAATTGTTGTGTGTTGGTAAATTATACTAGTGATTGGGCTGAGTGCGTTCTTGGAGGAGTTCTTTCTATATCGTTTGAGTATGAGAAGTGCTAATGAATAGAATTTGAGATTCCTTGACCTGTATTAATATTTCTCCAACTTGTTAAAGAGATGATTTGTGTGAAAATTTTGTAGAATGTACTTTACCTTTTTATGTTCAGAAATGGCCAGCGCGGCTCAATCCACTGGTTTAAGCACTAGAATAATCTACACGCCGTTTAAAGTTTAATTTGAAAACGATCCAGTCTCTTCGAATTCTTTAGTTTAAAGACGCGCACTAAGTTTATCAGTCGAATAGTGAACAAGATCGGGAAGCTGCTTTGGCTTTCGGCTTTCTGTGCGACACCCCAAAATGATACAAAGTACTATGCTTACTCCACCTCAACTTTTGGTTGTACACATATTATTATATTAGAATTCTGTGATATTCCTATGAAAATGATCTCTAGTCATATCCTAGTGTGGAAGATCATAAGCGCCAGTGGACTACTCAGTGGGCCACTAGTGATACTTGGTCCTCTTTAAATTTTTCTATTCGAGAGTCTAGAAGATATGCTACATTTTTTCAAGAAAATTAAGTTAAATTCCATTCATTTGTGACTTTCAATAGGTATCGAAGGGAGTCCAAATAAGCTTTTGAGGTTCTTTCCTTTTCTGTTCGCTTTCCCCCTCACCCTTCCCTATCTGCATTCAGTTTATCGATTGATATATAGTGTATCTGCAGTTCCTGGCGACAGTGATATGCATACATCAAGCTTGAACGCCAAAATCCCAAGAGCTGACAATAGACCTGTAAAACGTGCGGTAAGAGTTTCGGCGTTAGATCCCAGGTCCGCTGTCAAAGAAGTGAATTTTGAAGTAGCCAGTCTAAGTTTAGCTCAAGGAGCCGTCAGAGTAGTGAAGGAAGTCATTCTCTAGATCGATGGCTAAAATTCACTTTGTCAAGTAAGATTAGTTTGAAAATCGAGTCTGTCTCGTTTGGCTTTCTTTTAATTGTATAGTATTTGTTTCATCTACCTATCTTGAAAGTCCTTCACTCAACCGCTCAATTGTGCATTCGAAGAGAAGTACATTCGCTTGCATCCCACCAGAATGCTACAAGTGGCCTCTGAGATTACCAATGCTTATCAACTCTGTGGAATAGCTGACATTTTCAATTATCCTCCCTAAATAGCTTCTTCACTTTCTCCAATTCTGATGTAGTACGTCCACTCAATAGTCGTAAACATTCGAAGAGTCAGTGGGAATGTCGAGTTTACCGCGGCACATTGGACAAGTGCTCTTTTTCTCTTCTTTAAGCCACATATTGATACACTCCCGCCCGAAGACATGCTTACAGCCTGGTACCATGCAAGCGCCATGAGAAGCACCATTTTCTGGACTTGAGTCGTATTTTTCGTTGCAGATTGGGCATGGTACCGATTCCGTTTGCGTTTCATCAATAAGGACTGGAGTCAAAAGCTCGTCGATGGCCTGGTTTCTGTGATTTTCTTCGATATCTGCATGAGAATGACGTGGTCTAATGCCCGCGTATAAACAGTGGAAATCATATATTATTTCTATAGGTATCGTTTGAACCGGGATTCCGTCTTGAATATCAATTGTCGATGCTGGAGTGGTGCCACTGCCATTACGATCGTTCAGTTGTTGCCTGAAGAGCACGAGAGCTTCCACTACATGCTGATTATTCATGTGGGTATTTGGAAACCTGGTTCGAATATACCGATTAAATCGGGACCAGATCTCAGCATTAATGGACTCCACATCCTCAGCAGCAGCTTCTTGTGGCACAACATTTTGTAAAGAAGTGCCTGAACTATCGTCATCGGTAAGGCCACCCGAAAGCTCTTCGTTGTTGGCAGGGTCACTACTCTCGGTATCTTCAGGAGTGTCATAAGAAGTAGTATCTGCTGGAGCCTCATCTTGCAGAATATTTTCATGTAGAGCGAGTGATTCAACAACAGAAGATCCAGCATTTCCAGAAGTGTTTTGTTGCCCAGATCTTTCTACCTCCTCAGTGGCCGAAATGTTACTCTGCCCAGAAGACATAATGATGGGAATTTCTGTGTGTAGAGTTTCGAAAGTTGAAGAGTGGAAACAGTTTAATTTTCTGGTGTTATTGTAGATTTGATATATCTCGAACAATTTTTGAGCTGCCAGGAGAGTATGAAGTGTTCAGTCGATGGTTGAATACTTTAAGTCAGAACAATGTTATGATGAGAGATATTTGTGAGGAAGATGGAAGTATTACACTCATAACAAATGATCCTTAAATATCACAAAAAGAGTTCGATATAAAACAAGCGACTTTTAATACAGCAGTCTGCCAAAGCTCTGACGCTATGTATTGGACAACTTTTATGTTAGAAACAAGTATGCAAGAGTTTGTATTCTTGCTGATAAAGTGAGTAGATGAAAGTGAATACTCAAGGGGGTTAGGAGATCAGTGACCAAAAATTTGAACATAGCTCACAAAGAAGATCTTAGATTTCAAGAGATACTTTGCATAATCATGAATTTTATATACGAAATATTAGATATGATATAGTTTAGATATCAACGAAGATGTTTATGTATAAATTTGAACTTGCCGTTCCGAGCTTGAAATAATCACGTAAGTCGGTTACCCTACTTTCGGGCCACCCCTGTTTTGGGCCACTTTTCGACCACTTTTCACACCAAAAATGAAATTTCTAACTTTCTTATTTATAAATAGAATACATTGAAAATTTATATACATATAATTTAGATTGATTTAAGCTTATTCTGAAATTTTTAGATTTTTAGGATTTTTCTGTATTGAGATTTAGAGCTTTAAAATATCGATTTTTTAATTTGTATGGGAATCACATATAAATTGAAATTTTTTATAAAATCTTTAATAACTTTTTAATAAAAATTGCTAAAAATAAACTATGAAATTTTATTATAAATTTATAGTATTTTTAATATAAGAGATTCAGAAAAAATAGAAAATTTCTTATAAATAAATATTTATAGGAATACCCTCAAAATGACAGGGATTATTTATTTATTTATTTATTTATTTATAGTGATTAACGTCTTGTGGGGGACCTCCCTAGGGGTATGAAAGATGTGGCTAGATTTAGAGTTACAAATACAGAAAGGCGCTAATGTGTATGCTAGTAAAACCTCATAGGGTAAACCTAGTTCCTTTTATATATTCTAAATAAGCTAGTGTAATGTTTGTAAATAGGACTGTTTGATCGATTCTATATTTCTAACACTTCCTATTATTTATGGAGAAAAGCGTTTTGATTATATGATTACTTCTATTATAAAACTATATAGATAGGAGCAGTATGTATAGATATATTATTTCAAAGAAGTAGGTATATGTATAATAGTACTCTATAGGAGCGGAGGATTCGGCTATTAGACTGCTCGAGAGAAGCAGCTGGAATAATGGTTCCGCTGAATAGCAGAATGGCGCATAGGTGTAGTGATGGTGGTTGGAGGGGGGATCAATTCCTCTTTAGTATTCGATCGATCGCTTTTACGGTTTATAATAGAAAAGCTCTATTAGGATTAATGGTAGATTGTTAGAGCTCAGTGGAGCTGTATTAAGAGGTTTACACTAAGGTAGCCTATAAGGCGACATATAGAGTGGATCCATATGGATCAGATTGCTATAGCCTTAAGTCGTAGAACAATGGGAGAGTGGCCCGATCACTCTACTACTGAACCAGCCGGGCTCCTTGCGGAGGATAATGGTCTTTTTGTCGAGGGATTATTTATATTACTCTAAACTCACTGTATACTATATCTCTATATCGGTTAATTTTTCTTAATTTTTTTTTTGAATTTCTATATAGATTTAAGTTCAAATCTTTCAAAAAAATATATAGTTTTCTTTTAATAATTGTTATTAAAAAGTTATTGAAGGTTTTATAAAAATTCTAAATTTGTATATGATTCCCATACAAATTTGAAAATCGATATTTTGAACCTTTAGCTCTCAATCCAGAATAGTCCTAAATATCTAAGAATTTTATAATAGGCTTAAAATGATCTAAATTATATATATATTTTTTTTATCAAATTATATTATATATTGATAGAGATATTAATAGGCCTAAAAAGTGATTTTTGGTGTGAAAGGGTGGCCCAAAACCCTGGTGGCCCGAAAGTAGGGTAACCGATATCCCTGCTACGTGCACGTCCCTACTATATGCACGTTCTTTATTATTAAAATAAAAATCAATTTAAATTTCAAAAATCAATAAAATAAAATAAAATTTAGTTTGAGGATTGAATAATATTATTTATTTTAATTTTTCAAAATTTTAAATTATTAAAATAGAAACCAATTAAATAATAAAATAAAAAGAATATATAATTTTAAAATATAAATTTCAATAAAGAATATATTAAAGTTTGTTTATAAAATTAGAAAATATTTTAATAGATTCTTTGATATTAATATTCTTATAAAGAAATCAAAAAAAATCAAAAAAGTAATAAGAATTGAGTTTAATATAGATTATTGAATTTTCTAATTATTTTTATTGTTTTAAAAAAAACTTAAAATGAATTTTGAAATGAATTTAAATTTTATATTTAATACTAAAGCTTCGAATATTATAATCTTTTTGAAATAAATTTTATTGAATATTAAAATATATAAATTATAGATCAATTAAAAGAAATCCTTTAAATATTATTTATTTATTTATTTATAGTGATTAACATCTAATATCTGACTTCCCAAGGGGTATTCTAGATGTACTAAGGAGCGGGCCTATGGGCTGCTAGTATTCCAGCTGCTTATAGTAGTATAATGTTAGTTAATCAGGGGCTTGTTGCTTCTAGTATTCCCCCGCTCAGTATCGCTTATGGTGATCTTACGATTGTTTTGTTTAAGAATTTATAGTTCTATTTCAGAAAATCTTGTTTTGTATATCATCCAAATATCAGCGGATAATTAGGTTGATCGCTAT